ATAAATAGTATGTTTAAGTACTATTTTGTTTTTTAGTCTCGTAAGTATTCTTGTATATTCTTTCTAAACGTAAGTTCATTAAATAGAATAATTATATATATAAGTGTGTGTGTGTGTGTGTGTGTGTGTGTGTGTGTTTGAAGTTAAGCACAAAGCTACACAATGGGCTATCTGTCCTGTGGCCACCATGGGTATCGAAACTTGGTTTCTAGCGTTTAAGTCTGCAGACATACTTCCGTGCCACTGGGGGCGATATATATATATATATGTGTGTGTGTGTCTGTGAGTTACTTAAAAATTGAATTACATATGATAAAGTTATGAATTACTATGAATACCACCTGTTGCTTGAAGATGTAATGAATGAATATAAATATCACCTCTTGCCTGATGAAATAATGAATAACTATGAACATCACCTGTTGCTTGATGAAGTAATGAATAACTATGAACATCACCTGTTGCCTGATGAAGTAATGAATAACTATGAACATCACCTGTTGCCTGATGAAGTGATGAATAACTATGAACATCATCTGTTGCCCCATGAAGTAATGAATGACTATGAATGTCACCTGTTACCTCATGAAGTAAGGAATGATTATGAATGTTACCTGTTGCATCATGAAGTAATGAATGACTATGAAAGTCACCTGTTGCTCATGAAGTAAGGAATGATTATGAATGTTACCTGTTGCATCATGAAGTAATGAATGACTATGAAAGTCACCTGTTGCATCATGAAGTAATGAACGACTATGAAAGTCACTTGTTGCCTCATGAAGTAATAAATGACTATGAAAGTCAACTGTTGCCTCATGAAATAATAAATGACTATGAAAGTGACCTGTTGCCTCATGAAGTAATAAATGACTATGAATGTACAACTTGCCTGATGAAGTAACAAATAGTTATGACTGCCACCCCTTCTCTGATGAAACGATGAACAAGTATCACACTTCCACCCTTTGCTGATGAAGTAATGAATAACTAGTACCACCCCCTTGCCTGTTGAAAATATAATTGGCTAGCTTTGAGTACCATTTCTTGCCTGATGAAGTAATAAATAACCGCCCATCACCTGATGAAATAATTAAGTATAAACTACACCCTTGCTTTTCTCTCGTAAGTCGGCGTTTTTATTTTACACAAATATGGTACTTAAAACGAAATGTGAAGTCAGATCTTTTGTTTGTCATAAGTTAAATTTCGAATGATAGTATAGTGATAGCAACGTTTTAATAGTATATAATTATTACTTTATAAAATGACATGGTACGATATATAAAAAAAAGGTTTTTGTATTTCAAAAAATAGCTTTTCCTGTGAAATATAGCCACTAGGATTAGATGTATTACTAACCTGCAGGATCGAAACCAGTCGCCGAACATTTTCTTCCTTTCAGCCGTGGGAGTAGTATAAGGTTATGGTTCATCCCACTGTTCATTGTTAAAGAGTAGCCCAAAAGTTGGCGTTGGGCAGTGTTGACTAGCTGCGTTCCATCGAATTTATCACTTCAAAATTATGTCCCATTAGCGCAGATAGCCTCCGAGTAGCTTTGCGCGAAACTTCAACGAAGAAACGGTCAGGCGGAAGTAGCTCAAGAGTAGGCGGTGGGTGCTGTTGACTAGCTGCATTCCATGTAATCTGTCAGCTTAAAATTAGGTGGCGGATATACGCAGGTAACCCTTGTGTATTAATTACCTATCGATTACTTATTTTCTGTTATATTGATTAATCTTTATATATTTGAAACTTATCAACTTCAATTGCTTATCATATTAGGGCTATATAGTTTATTCTGAAATGAAACTGTGAAATAAATGAATTGTACGTAGTGAAATTTCAACATTCAGTCTTAAATTAGTTTTGTAAAACTGTCGGGTTCATTCTAGAATTTTAAAGTTGTATTTCATGCGATTTATTCGATTTGATGTTGCACTACTGTTACATCAAGCGAAGGATTGAATAAATTCTGCACATACGCTGTTTATTAGTGCAAAAAAAAATTCAAATTCTCGAGCTCACTTTTTCACACTTGGCAGATGTTAAGTTATTGGAAAATACTCGGAAATTCACAAGTTCTTTACTTTTATTTTGTTTTTGAATGGGGGGGGGTCATCCAAACGTTTTAAAGATTCAACGGAAGGTGTTTAATTCAGTAAGAAATGTCTTCGGTAAAGATTTTCGATATTAGAGACCTTGGTAGGAACACACGTCATCCTTTATGTTACTATTGTTCTTTGTAAGTAGCACACAATAATTTTTTTTTTCGTTTTAAAGGTTAGGACGTCTGAAAGTTGTAGTTCAAAAATCTTCTTGTTTCGGTAACAAGACATGCAACTTCGAACTGCAGTTTCAAGCCATGTCAGCTTCATCCAGCTCATCTTGATAGATGAAAGAAGTTTCTCGAAACTTCGGTTCTCAGTTGATTACGGCATGAGGTTTGTTACCTAACGCGAGTTTTCATATTTTCGTTTTACAACTCATGATTCACCAAGAGATGAAGAAATACGTGAGTTCCGAATTTAACTGGAAAGCTAAAATAGTCTTAAACTGTTTCAGATTAAAAAAAAAAACACACATAAGTTTGTGTATATTTGAAAACTAAATAATATAAAGTATTTTAGGCTGTTTTCGACCAATCAGGGTTGAGTAGGTTTTCTTGATGTCCAAAACATGCCATTTGATAAATTTATAAATAGCAAGATATAGGGGTCACTCCAAAACATTGCTATGTTTTTGCAAACCGTAAATAGGAAAATATAAATATATTACAGAACTGAGTCCTCCAGTGGGACAGCGGTAAGTACACAGATTGCAACGCTAAAACCTGGGGTTCGAGTTTTGCAGTGGACGCAGCAGATATCCCAATGCGTCTTTGCTCTAAAACAAACAAACTGAATCGATTTTGACTAATGAAGAAGCAATGGGGCTTATTCTTCCACCACCTTTACTAGAATAACTATTTTATAGATGGCGTTAGATTATCACATTCTGAGCAATTATTTGACTTGAGTGGAACAAAATAACTGGACCAGTTTTCACAATTTGCCCATTATCTGATTTACCTCGTCTAAAGAGGTTTCTTAATTAATGGAGTGGTTCTAGTTATTTATCACTTTGGATAAGTCGTATGCATATGAAAAGTCTAAACATCTTCAGATCCTTCTTTTGGGTGAAGGACAGACAGAAAGTATTGATTAAATATACACAAAACGAAGAGATTTCTTAAGATTTACTGCCCCCAGTCGCTTTTCTGTAATCTTGAGGGCTTATAAAGCTCAAATTTTGGGTTTGATTTCTGCAATGGGTACAGTGCTTATAGCCCGTTGTGCAGCTTTGTGCTTAAACAATAAAAACAACAAAAAAACGAGGAACCTTAAGATTCATTGCAATGGTTAGCACGAAATTCTTGTAATTGCTATAACTCTTTATTTATTTATTCCATCAAGACAATATTGATTAAAACACTAAAATAAATAACTTCAAAAATGATTAATTCACTGTGTGTTCTTGTTACCCTGGTGGTAGAAATTCCAGTGGATGAGGCATTACCTTAAAAAGCACTAGGCTCTACGCAAAGTAAAAAATAGCAACCACACAACTATAATTCCTTCTATTCGAGGTTAGGGGATACGCCTCGCAAGCTGTGGGTTGTAGGATCGAAACTCGTCGCTAGACATGCTCACCCTTCCAGCTGTGGGGGATTTAAATATGACGGTCAGTTCTACTATTCGTTGGAAAAGAGTAACCCAAGAGTTGTGGATGGGTGGTGTTGACTAGCTGTTTTCCCTCTAGTCAATCTCTTCTTTTTGGGTTGAAAGTCAATAATCTTACCGCTTACTCACCAGGGGGCTACAAATAGAAGGTGTGTTTGTTTGTTGAATTTTCGCGCAAAGCTACCCTAATGCTATCAGCGCTAGCCATCTCTAATTTTGCCGGAGTTCGATTCCTCACTGTGGACAGAGTATAGATAGCCCATTGTGTAGTTCCACACTAAGAAAACACCAACAATTTCTGTTTATAAAATTGTCATTATTATGATAAAGTGGGCACATTTCATTAAACTTGTCATTATTATGATAAAGTGGGCACATTTCATTAAAATTGTCATAATATTTTAATTTATTAAATGTTAAAAGCAAAGCTATTTGCGCAAATGGGCCATCTGTGCTCTGACCACCACGGGTATCGAAATCTGATTTTTAGCGTTGTAGGTCTGCAGACTTACCACTGAGCCACTGGGGGTATTATTAAGCGAAATTGACATTTTGGTCAGAGAGTTTAGGCTTAACTTTGTATATATATATATATATTACATCTAATCTGTTCCTGAAGTGGATAAACTGCAGACACGAGTATATAGTTGTAATTGGAAATACTTGGATGGCGATACGTAAATTGGATGTAATTTACACTTTTAAATTTATGTATGCTTGATTTAGCTTAGTCTACGAAGAGGGTTCATCGAATGTTTTCGAACAACTTTTCTTTGACATCTTTCGATTTATTGGTAGAAATTGGTCCCCATATGTTCCTATCTTGTTATCACATTACAGTTATAATGCTGTTTGTTACAGAATCATCCACAGTCTGAAGAGAACTCTCGGAATTATCTATTGTAGTACTATTCATGTTTCGTCTCCTCCAGAAAGTTGCTTTTAGAATAAAGCTCAAAGATTTGAAAATGTTTAATGTGTATTTTGGGCGCAGAAAGGCCTAAAACTAAAAGTTAGACTCGTTAACCTGTTGTTTGCCCTACGAGAAGACTTGCTAGAAGTTTGCCCGTTGGGCAAAAATACAAGTTCTACATGCAGATACTTGAACTTGGAGTACCTGCAGTGCAACAATTTATTTTTCTAAAGTAAGACGTTTTATTCTATTTGTCAGCCTTTCTAGGTTCCTACTTATGTGATAACATTTAAGTTATTGCTCTCTACACCTTTTTTCCAAAGCAAGTTTGTTCTGTTTACCGATAAAGATTTGGATTAACACTGTTTAGCCTAGTTACTGTTAAACCATAGTGTACTACCAGCAACAAAAAGTCTTCACCTGGTTTAAAAACAAAAACTAGCCCATAATATTTGCTACTCTAAATATGAAATAGACAATGAACTCCATTATCTGTGTAGGTAATAAAGAATTGTTGACCTAAATGAAATTTAAGCTTTACCTTTGTGGCCTCAATAGCCAGTCCAAGGTCGCGGTGCTCTATTTGGAAACAATGGGTAACCCGATACTCTCGAAAAATTCGTATGTATTGTTCTATATCAAAGCTTTCCTTGTGTATCAGACACTGCCGAGTATTCAAAAAACGCGTAATTTTTGCGGCAACAGATTTATTGAATGGCTTAATCAGCCGTTTTTATCACACTTGAGGGTGGTGTCTTTTTTCTGTCATGTTAATAGGTATTGTAGGTTATATAATTAATGACCAGGATCATGTAAAAGTGATTTTGTTTTTGTACTCAAGTTAACAAATATATAGGAACACCTCAAACCTTTTAATTGTTTCGTGGAAATAAAAGGGGATCTTGTTTCAAAAGCAATAAATCTTGGTCTTTCCATGTTAGACTAACGATAATCGGAGTTGGTCATGGCCAACATATTTTATTGGTACAACTAAACGTAGAAGTAGCTTCGCAAGTCTTATTATCGGTATAG